GTCGTTGTCCTGTGTGCGCGAAGTGACTCGACGCTTCTCCTCCCGTGATCCCGCTGTCTGAGCGTGAGTTGGAGCTCCTTTGATGTTTCGATCACGGAGGACGAGACGATGAGATTGTACGCCTCTCTCGAGTAATAACTCTCTTCTCGGAGATGAGTTTTTCGATCACGTGGGTGGCTGGACACGATGACGCGTGTCCTGTATCTCGACGATTGCTGCCCCGGCCTTTGAGATCCTCGCGGAATATCTCGTTACTAACGCGATACGACTTCAGCGTTTTTTATTTTTCAGCGTTATTTCGCTTTTAATCTCCTTCCAGGAGGAGGAGAACGAGAAGCAGGAGATCATCCTCTTGTCGTTTTCAGGTAATTTGAAGCATCCTCTCGATGCTACTCGAGAGCACGTTACAGTTGCAGCCGCGTTAAACGCGAATTGCACGATCGCCGTTGCGATCGCGTGGTCAGCAGCGAGCGGTACTCGCGATATCTCGACGATTTCACGACGCGGTTTATCGTACCATGGCGAATCGTCGCCAGCACCCGATGATTATCGAGCCGCTCGGTATCCTTCTCGTCGTCGTCCTCTTGCTTCTCCTCGATTAATACGTTAAACGCGTTTATTTCCAGAGGCGCGCAATTAGCGTGATTAATACTCTGGCGAATTATACATTCGCGTATCCTCGGGACGGGGTTGATTTATTCTATCTTACGTACCGTAGCGTGTGCGGTAAGCACCGGTATTAAGCAGCCAGACGATTCTCACGGTGCTCGCTAAATAACAGGGAGCGTTCAATTAGGTTCGCTCTCGCGGGATCCATGACTTCGCTCCGGCGTTTGGCTTTTTTTCTCGCAGCAACTCGCCCCAACCACGTGTCATTAAATCGGTTCGACCGACTCACGGAACTCGTTCGGTTCGTCGTCGTGTATTTCTTTTCAGACTTTCAGACACTATTTTTGAACCAGTCGTTCCGTCAGATGATTAGTTATTTTTTTTTTTTTTTTTTTT